GAGACACCCACCGGCTTCGGGGCTTTGGGAAAGCCGTCTGCCCGGGGGAGCTGTCTGCTCCTGGAGGGGGGCGTGCCCGGGGCAGGGCACACGGAACCGGCAGCGGGAGGGAGCCCGGGCGAGGGGCACAGGGCCAGGGGAGAGGGAGGAGGGGGCTGCTGGGTGGCAGCAGGGCAGAGGGGCTGCAGGAGAAGCCAGGAGCAGCACAGGAACCCCCTGGCGTGGGAGGAGAGCACGGGGACCGAGGTGGGATTGCAGGGGAGGGATGTTCCCTTGGGACAACGGGGAGATGAGGAGGCCACGGGGAAGGTTCAGCATGGGCACGAGGAGTCACAAAGCACCACAAAGACCAGCAAGGGCTGATGATGGCCAAACCCCAGAGCACCCAGAGCTCCCCACAGGAGGAGACCAGAGCCTTACCCTGGTGTTGGTCACCAGCAGGTCCCTCACTGTGTAGCTCTCACACTCCTCCTCCTTCTTCAGCTCCACGGTGATGTCTCCATAGGACACGGAGCCATCAGATGGCCAGTACTGGGCACACTTCTCCTGGGGAACCAGTGCAGGAGGAGACAGGGTGAAGACCCCGTGGTTTTCCCCTGGGCTTGAACAGAAGTTGTCTTCTACTCAAGCCCAGAAGAAGTGGTCACCTTCTTCTTCTTCAGGGGGGCTCCCTGCTCGCTGCAGGGGGGTTGGACATGACTTTTAGAGGTCCCTTGCAACCCAAAACATCCATAATTCTGTGATGCTTCCCGGGCTGGCAGCTGCCCAAACGCAGGTGGGACCCTGTGGTCAGGCTTCAGAGAGAGGCACCCAAAGCTGCTTTGAGAACTGAGGGCCCAGAGCAGGTTTATTGGACATCTCCCCACCCTGGGCTCACAAACACCTGGATTCTCTGTTTTAGAAGCAGAGCCTGAAATGTTTTCCTTGCCAGAGGAGGGTGAGATGCCAGCCAGCACGTGTGGCACGGGTGGTACCGGGGCCATCGGGTGTTTAAGGGCTTGCACTGACTTATTTTATTGGGGCTTGAGTGCAGCTATCCCCGGGCACCCACCTGGCCTCTCTCCTCCAGCTCCGTCAGCATCACGATGGAGCAGGATTTCCACTCCCAGATCATCCTCCAGAAGTCCTCTATGGTGTGCTGCAGCGGCCCCTGGCTGGCGATGTAGGAGTCCTTCTGGCGATAGCCCTGCGGGGACGGGGAGGCTGCGCTGGAGAAGGGAGGAGCTCTCCTGCACAGCTCGGGTTACCGAGTCACCTCCAGGGAGGGGACCCTGCCCCTCTGCCAGCTCCCTGAGACCCCCCTGCAGTGCTGGGGCAGCTCTGGAGTCCTCAGCACAGCAGAGCCAGGGACCTGCTGGAGCGGGGCCAGAGGAGCCCCAGCAATGCCCCGAGGGGGGAACCCCTCTGCTGGGAGCCCAGCAGGAGAGCGCTGG